TTATATCTATAAATAAATTATAATTTTATTTATTTATTACCCTAATTATCTTCTAAAGATGCTTTAACATTTCTCGCATGATTGTTAAGATTTTGATTGACAGGTGGTCACTGTGTTCCTATCAGTGGGAAGAACAACCTTTGAATGCGGTGCTACCTCCTGGGAGGCGGAAGGGAACCAACCAAAACCAATAAACCGCACAAAACCCCAACAAACGAATGGAAACCAAAGAACAGGAATTGCTGTGAGGGTTAAACAGCAGATGAGCTGCCAGGCAGTGCAGCTGCCTGCGGGTCTGTGTCCATTCCCCTTGCCCGGAGCTGCCCCTCTGTCACCTGGCTGCCGCCCTGCAGCCTCCCCCCGTCCTTGGCAGCCCTCAGAAACCACCCAACTGCCTAGCAAATGAGCTGGAGGCGCTTGGCCTGGCCCTCGGCAGACCTTTCCCAACGCAACCGCAGGGCTGTGGTGGGCGCGGTGTTCCCGGGCAGTGCCTGCTGCTCCCCACCTGCCCACCAGAAACAATCCATCCTGTCCCTGCAGCGCACCTCAAGCACCGACACACTTGAAGCCTTCTAGTTGTGGTTCTGCGACCTGAGGAGCTGGCTGGTGGAACTCCTTTCCTGCTAGCTTAACCCTACTTATTTTAACGAGGTAACTTTTCCTCATTAGTACAGAATGAGACATTTATGTTGAGTCTGATCCCAGACGTTGTAATGCACTGGAGTATGCTGAAACATGGATTCCTCCCGAAAATCCTTCTCCCTTTGCTACCCTTCCCCTTCCTCATGAGCACTTACTCTTTCCAAGGATATTTCAAGTCTCCTTCTTCTCGGCTTTCCCTGCTAGATTTTTTTCTTCTCTCACCTTTTCATCCAGTTTTCTTCCATCTTTTTTTCTCATCTCTGGCAGCCTCAGGACTCTCTCCCTTCTTGAGGAGGGCTTGAAGCTCTTCAGGTTTGCAGATTTTAAAGTCCGAGAGCACCGTGATGATCTAGTCTGGGCCCTACAACTTACTTCAGTTAATTGCTTGAATTACTGGATGTCTTTCATAAACAAAACAGGACCGTATTTATCTAGTCTCGGCATCCCATCACTGTGCTGTATCTTTGGTAGCTGTGTGATGAAGTCTTCTTTCAGCAACTTTCTTTTTCCCACATTGGCACTTACCTAAATCAGATCATCCTTCAGCTTCTCCGTTTCATTCGCTTGCACCTCTTCTGCATTTCTCGGTATCCCCGGAGGATGATTTCTTGACCTCAGCACTTCAAATACCCCTCAGAACTCCTCTCTCCTGAGCTTTTAAGCGGTTACAAAGTGCCATCCGTGACTGCCAGGTCAATTTGTCTCCTCAGCATTGTGAATTTTTTCTAATCTAGGACCTTCCCCTGTGAAAAGTATGCTCGCTAAAATTGCTAATAAATGGTTAGGTTGTACTTTTCATCCGGATTCTCTCTGCTCATGTCGGCCAGACCCATAGCCTGTGGGTCACCATCCCTTTCCTACGGCACTCACAGTGAGTTCAAATCCGAGCTCTTTTCCTCCGCACTCCTGAAAGCTAATATTTTTCTACCTAACCAACCTAGATAAAAGCCTTTTTTTGAGTCTTCATCATTCTTTGTCTTTGTGAAATGCTTTCTTCCTAGCTTTTACCCATTTATCTCACTTATGCCTCATATTCATTTAAAATATAACCGCTTATTGAGATGAAAGCATAAAAGCAATCACTAGAGCTTTACAAGCCCAGGCACTATGTTTAAAATATTTTCAGGTAACTGAACTAAAATCAACATGTTTTCATGATGCAGTGGGGGAGCAAGGGGCCCCAAGAAGCTCTTTGGGCATTCCAGTCCCTTTCGGAAATGAAGACTAATACACAGCCCAGGCGGCAGTAGGAATTGCTGAGGTTATGTTAAAGACTACTTTGTAAAAGCAGTAAGGTAAGGTCAGCAGTAATTCACAAATTATTTCTATATCCTGCTTTGCCTTGGGAAAAGGAGAAGCCCTCAGAGAAACAGTTAGAAACTGGAAAAGAGAAGCAACAATTTTACCCTGCTTTTCTCTTTCTGCCATTAACATACCTGTTCGTGTGACCACGTCCGTTCCGAGCCGTCCTTCACACAGATGTCGAGCCTCAGCTCGGTCCCCGTGGCTCCGTGTTTACTGTCCACACAAAGGTTGGCTGCCACGTTTCGAATCTGCAAAACCAAGCAGCAACATTTCGCGTTAAACCAGGCTATGGAATAAGAGTCTGCCAACCTAAGGGAGTTAGGAGTTTAGCTCTGAAGGGCTTCAGACAGAGCGTTAGTTATGGAAACCTGGTGGGAATTACTTTTTATAAGGTTGAGAGCCATGTCCTGGAACAAACTGCTCTTTTTGGAAGCAGCTTTAGAAGCAGCAAAGTTTGAAATATTCTGCTTAACAAATGAAAGGTAGGTCTGTATGAAATATTTTCACACAAAGAAACTAAGAGAAAAAAAGTTGGAGAAGTTGAAAGCTGGGTCTGGCTGCTTCTTCCCTCCTACCAGAGCAAGAGAGATCAACTGCATTTCTGTACGAGTCTCTCACAGGCTTCGGAGCAGTATTTCTTAAAAACTCAGGCACGCCCTGTTCCAGTCCTTGTTCTTCCTTGGACACAGTAAGACCGTTGTAGGTAAGGTCACATGCTAGTGCCTGAGGTGCACAAAATTAAAGAAGTACTTAACAAATCTGTCCTGAATCTGTGCTTACCCATGGAAGTTCCTTGTGCTGTTTGCGTGCCTTCTACAAACGCTCTGCAGTATAACTTCAAAGGAAACTCTCACTTTTGAGACTGAAGCAACTGAGTAATAATTAATCTGTGACTATCAGTCATACCAGTTAGGGACCACTGCTGCCATGTATCTGTTTGTAAAAGACTGCATTGAAAAGGAGTAGGTTGCCCACTGCCACCAAAGAGAGTAAAATCCCAAATTTCTTTTGCAAATACATGCACGTTTCTCCTCGAGTACCTCAGCTGGGCTATTTAAAAATCCTTTAGACACCTCCAGAATGAAGAGGATTTCTTAAAAAAGCTTACCCTGTCAACATGATATGCAGAAACTGAGTAACCAAAGCACACGTACATGCACGGAAAACGCACACAAATTCTGTATCTATAATACATAGAAAGCAGGTGCATATTTTGACGTTCTGGCCACTACTTTGATCCTTATGTAAAAAACCCAAAAGCTAGATGCCAAATGGAGATACAGTTGAATTGATGTTTGTATTTTTCCATGGAAAATACTTTAGAAGTCGCAGTTGTTGCTATATTACGTTAGACAAACGTAACCATGGCCCCTGCCGACCTCATACGCAGCCCAGGGATGGAGAACGGGACAGTAGAGCGCTTGGCGGGAGAGCTACTGGGCTCTTTTTCTGATTCTGGAGGACTGGAATCGAGTCTATTCACCATGCTCTAAGAAAGACTTAGACAGATGGGAAAGCAGCAGGAAGTGGAAAAACTGTACAAACCCGTCACCTTCAGGAAAGGTTTTAGGAGCTGCCTTTGTTTAGCCTGGAAAAGAGCAGATTGGGCAACGGATGGGGGAGCATCAGTTTCAGCGCTTGGCTCCAAGAACCTTCAAGCCTTCACCAGAGCTCAGAGAATTATTCTTCTAAAACTTGGACAAGCCCAGTTCTCAAGTAGTTTTTCTTTTTTTTTAGTACAATAAAATTTGCTACAGGTGAGGTAAAACACTAGCATTTCGTACACGCAACCAGATGCAGAAACCCAGCACTGAGCAGCCCCCCAGTACAAAGGGTCACGTTAACTGAAAAAAAGGATGAAAGGTAATTAGTTCTGAACAACCCTGCCTTCATTTTCCTATCACCCAGCAAGAGAGATAGGAAAGAATAATGAGGGGAATAGATTTTAATTTTGTATTTTAAAAGTTTCATGGGAAATACCTACTGCAAGTATAATTTTTGGGGGTATGTTCAATCATTTCTCAGGGCACTTAAATTTGCATTGTATAAATAAAGATTTCTGGCCTAATACAAAATTAAATGATACATCAGTTTTGTTCTTAGAGCATGTGAGCTAATTAAAATGGAGCTGCTAACAATTGCCATTAATAATTGGGTGATTCAGAATTGTGAACTGACAGCGAATACACTCCACGTCCAATGAATGCTCCTCAGATTAAAGGGCTTTCCTAGTTTTGTCTGTAGGGCATCGCCCCATCCCATGCTCGGTCATTTGGACTACGTGGTCAACGTGTTCAATGCATCTCTGGAAAAGGGTCGAGCTGAAGCTACATTTCGTTCCTTCGCCGCTGGAATCTGTCTCCCCTGTTCTTCATTTCCTCTCCTCTTCCCTCTGCCTCTGAAAGGTTTCCTTGCCTTAGTTTGTCCTCCGGTTTGCTGCAGTTTATGTGTTAGCTCATCCTTTTTATTTTGTTCTACCCTTCCTTTCAACTGCAGAGGGGTCGCCGTTTGTTTTTCGTTTTCTTTTTGTAGACCAGGCATTTCAGTCAAGTCTGTGCTTTTGTTCTCTGGCATTTCTGTGTGGCCTTGGCAGCTGCTAGAAATTGAACCGAGCCATCGTGCTGCTGCCAGAGCCACGGGGAATGTTCTGCCGGACACCAGCACCACACAGCCTCCAAATCCCCCAAGATGCTTTCACAGACAAAGGAAGGAAAGCAGAAGCACAGCAAGGAGAGGCTTTTTTTCTCATTTATACATCAATATGCGTTTGAGAACTGCCTTGTCTGCCGTCACACAGCACAACGGCTTTTGAATTGTTGAGGTTATGAGTTACAACTAGGAAAGAAATAGCTAGCGATCCTAATACACTCGCATTTCCGACGTTCGTGTTTGTGCAATTGTCGAGACTCAGGATGAACAGGAGACAGGTTTTATCACCCATGCAGGCCGGGCACCGAGTGGCTGCGTACAAAGCTTATTTGCTCAACCTGAAATGCTATCATTTGTACACCCAGATAAGCGCACGGGAAAAGCATGCTCTGGAGGAGTCTGTATGGACTAACAAGGATGGTTAACAGTGATCTTACAGGCCATTTCAGAATGAAACACATTCCCCAAAAAGCACAGGACACTAGATGTAAGTCATTATGCATATTTAGTTCTTGAAAGGCCAGCCTAACACATGCTGGGACATAGATACTAAGACTATGGGCCCTGTAGTCCTTAGAAAGAGCAAATGAGGTGTAAAAGCACAGAGAATACTAACTCTAAGGGGTCAGTTTTCTCCCTCTTCTACACCGGTGGCTCCGAGCAAGGATGTACGGGCTTCTCAGTGCTGCACCGACGCTCAGGAAACAAAGACGCGTCACCTGAGCGGGATTTCTGCTGGTGTAGTGTCCGACTTCTGTGCTTTACGTGGGGTAGCAAGGGGAAATCACTAGGTAAGCCTAGATATGGTAATCCTTGGGTTTTCCAAAAGGCAGTGAACTTAGGTTAAAACTAACTCTCTTAAGTTAGCCAGCCTGTGTTAAAAAGACTTTTCTCCAGAGCAGGAGTGCTCTGGAGAAAAGTAAAATAGGAGTTGGAAGACAGGAGGACAGAAGGCCTGAAAGTCCAGACCTTAGGTTTGAAGAAGACACTGTTACCTCTTGACATTTGAAGCTGCTTATTTGATAGACAAGTATTCATTGGAAAAAAAAAATAAAAAAAGAATCAGAGTTCCCAAACAGTGTTTACACATTGCAGAATATATGGTCTCCTACATAACTTGAACTCTGGTTAAATTAATGTTGGAGTTTTGCAGAAAGCCAGCACTAACAAGATTTAATAAGGCCCCCATGGGAGGGGCAGATTAAGATGGTCTAGCACTACGCTGTCAAAACCATAGCATTTGTCATTAGTACATGAGCATGGAATGGGAACTGGAAAGCAACGGATGTGGTGATTACCATGATAATCTTCTTGTCAGAAAAGCAACAGTCTTCTGAGGAGAAGGAAGGGTCGCAGGCCATTGATACAACCTGCCAGGATTAATTTTGAGATTTTTGAACCTTTTGGCAGGAGCTGTGTAATGGACACACTAGCATGCTCCATGTTAAACGGAGGAAAACCCCAAGACAGCCGCCCCTCACACCCCTATACTTTAAAGCAAAGTGAATTTCCCCCCTTCCTTTTAAGGGAATGTATTGTAGGCTGAAAAAGAAATTATAGAGGGAAATTAAATCTTTGCAGGGTCCAGCAGTTATATTGACCAATATTTTTTGATAATTCTAAAACTCTACAACTTTATTCACAGGCAAATGAGTTCCTGCAAGATTTGCATCATTAGAACGATGAATGTGGAGATGGTGCTGGGACTGTCCTTAGGGTGCCCCCATACAGCAACACGAGAGGCACCTTGGTGCTATCAGTTTATATACTACTTTCCATACATCTGATTTAATGCCTTAAATAAGAAAGTGGCTGTAGCTCTTAGAAGATGTTAGCAACGTTCATTTAGGTTGCTTTTTTTCGTTTGAGCAGCACTTAAAGCCAGTTTTAGTGCCCTGCTTACATGCTCAGATAACCCTAGGGCCATCAACATCTACAGATCAGATATGGAAAAACGAGCCACCTTTCCTGTCAACTGATACACGGTAATTTTAAAAGTATTTATCCCTTGTGCGAGCCGTAAAAAAGAAAAGTTGAAGTTAAAAGAAGTCAAGCGCTGCCAAAGGCCTCACTGAAGAAAGAGGGGACTCTGTTACTCAATGCGGCACAGATCCCGATGGAAGGATGTGGACAGCCCAGCTGTGCAGCACTCGGGTCTGTGCGGGGTGGGGAACAGCTGGGGACATCGCAGAATAGAATCATAGATTTTTTTGTACATCGCTTTTGTACAAAACAGAGCTGTGCCACTTGGTGGGCTGAGAGTGACTCATTAAGGGTATGGGGATGACACCTTAAAAAAAGGAAGTAATCAAAAGAGAAGTTACGGAGTTCTTCAGTAGCACATTAGAAAAAGGATTAAAGCCTGACTTCACTTCATGGGTGACATCTACATGTCAGGGCTGTAAAACAGTTCTGTAAAATCCATGAGTTCAGGACTGAGAAAGGAATATTTTCAGGTCCTACAGCTTAGCACTGCTGCAGTAACTGAGAGACTTGCTGTGTATTAAGTCATTGAATAACAAGTTCATGTTATTCAAATGAAAATGAACCAAACTTAAATATTTCCCTTTTGACTGAGTAAAACAAATTATTTTTTTTCATATCCCCTTGACTATAGGACTTGTGAAGTCTAAAATAAATGGCACTGGCTGACGTTACACGATTGATTTACTGTAAAATGCATTTTCAAAGATACTGTTGGAAGCTGTGATATCTGCCCAGTACACTCACGCTGGATCACAGCTTGTAGATTCATGAGTACTTCCTAAGAAAACATTTGGTGTGCAAGTCTCACCTAATACAGTTACTGTATTAACTTCCTTCAACGGGATTTCAAATACACATTACAAAGAAGTTATTCTGTCTTGGAAAGAGAATGAGATGGGTATTCCTGCTTTTCAACCGGTAGCATACTTTCCAATATATTCAGAAGGGTAAGAACAAAACCTAATTGAAAACTTTCCTTTTTTTTCCATGGTGGGAGAGTAAAGAGTACAGTTATCTCACCCAGACAGAGAACTGACAGTCTCGCTAACCTTAACCTGTCTGGATTTGCCATTACATTGCTTTACTGCACGTATTTCAGATGTTACAAGGCAGAACAGAATATCAAGGGAACGTACACCCTGCCAGCTACAAAGGACAAAAGGCACAAACACACAGAAGAGATAAGGCCATGACAAGCGTAGCCAAGAAGATTGGTTTTTGTTTTTCAAATTTCCTTCTTTTCCATCATGAACTGATTTTGTCAAGAAATGTAAGAGTCAGACTTTAAACAACTGTGTTTGCCAAAAAAAGAGGAGTTGTGCAGAGGCTGTTGATGAGATGTCTGCGCTCACACTACACGCTTTTACTAAGCTACGTATCAAAATACTGGAGCCCAAAATTGTCTGAATACCTCATTGTGTATTCTTTCTCAGACTGGCAGAGGCAAGTAGATGTAAAGCCTTTCCAAGTGGAAGCAGAGAGGGTACTAAATGACAGTCAGTCTTGGCACAGACTTCTGGTGTGCGTAATCAGCCAGGTTTCTAGAGCTGCTTGATTCTTACAAAGCACAAACACACAGTCTGTTTTCCTCGTTCAGCTTCTAATTATGGCAGCCATTGACCTTCAAGTTTGTTCAAGTTCCTTGCAAGTGCCAACAAATTAATTAAAACTTCACAGGAATGTGACAGTCTCAGGGAAAAAATAGAGTAGTAGGGCCGAAACTTCTCCTCTTCTTACTTTAGAGAAAGTACATTTTAGAGGAAAAAGAAAGCCTTTGGTCATCACTTCCTTCTTAAGAACTCAATAAGTGTTTTTAAGGTACAGATTTGATACCACTGCTCCGATCTCGGATGTACTTTTGAAATGGCTCACTTTTACGCAAAGAGTATGTTAATATTGCTGTGAAAAGAACAAACACCTGAATCACAATCTCTTCCACTTAGACCCTCTGACTGAGTTAAGGATTGTTCAGCTGGCCAGAGAAATTCCACATCTCATGGTCACAGTCCTCCAAGGACGCAGATGTGTACACGCGGAAGATGGTGAAGGAAGGTCATAGTAGCAGACACAGCACCCCGATCCAGCTTGACTTCCACTGATAAACTCCTTACCTCTTGGTGTACACGAATCCCATAAAGCGTGGGCAGCGGTGTCAGAGACAGAAGAAACTTTAACAACAATGGAATTCATTATTGCCAAGAAGTAGCAAGCAGTGAGACACATGTAATTGGAAGTTCCTTTGAACATCTGTAACTGGTAGCTTACAAAGAAGATGTAAGGACTGCTTCTACCACAGAAGGTTACTTTTAAAATTTTGCAACAAGGTAATTTGCTTTTTTAAAAAGACATTCTGGAGGCCTGTATGTTTAGAATTCCCCTGCATGGTTCAGCCTTGACCACTGGAGATATGCAGAGGTGCGAGGGGGTCTTACCAAATGTTTTGGTTGAAGCTTCAACTTCATCCTTTGGTTTCAAATATAAAAGGAAATTGGCTGAGAGGCCCAAAAACATCTCCAGCAAAATCAGAGAAGGCCAGAACTCACAGTACAGATATTCCTATGGCTTTTAAAAAAGCAGCACAACACGCTGAATGAGCAAAGCCTTCTTTATAAATCTTAACACACTGAGAGGAAAAAGCCCTCTGCATGCCACCTTTCCATGGAGTGAATCCGCTGTAGCCCCTAGGGGTCAAAGGCCACTGCAGCTCTTCAGCGCAGCTATGGAAGTAATGTCCTGTCCCTGCACTCTTTCTGGTTTCATTGCTTCTACACCAAACAAACTGTCCAAGCAAGGTGTGCTACGGCTCTGCTCTTCAGAGAGGTCCGAACACAGAACATCTTTGATCCCGTGTGACAAGTTCCAGCAGGCCCTTTGCTCGCCCCCTGCTCTGGAGTGATGCTTGGCTTTTGGCTTCTCTTTGGTCCTTTCTACCTCCCCTCAGCCCCAAAACAAGAAATTGCATGTCTGTTACTGGTACTTGGTCATGACAGCAGCTACAGAATGCAGACCACGCGCTGAGCAAAGCCAGTCTTTTTAAAAGAAAAGTATCGAGGCTACGCTCGCCACACTTGCACAGGTGAGCAAAACAGAGCTAACCTAACTCCACCTACATACAACTGCCCTTGTAAGAACAGGTGGAGGTATGTAAGTGGATAGGCAAAAAAAAGAAGTGTTGACTTCAGACCTCCTTTTTACTAAGATGATTCTCAGCACCTAAAACCAGCTTGTGACATGCTATAATGAGCGCTACATACTCTCTTCCACATTCTTGTCCTCGTGGTGCATGCGTCTTACGGTCTGTACACACAAAATTGTAATGAAGTATGAAAGGGACAGCCATAGTTCTAAGACTTGATGGTTTCTCATTTTAATGGCTCGTCCAGGAATTGTTCCAATCACTGTGAACTCCCTTAACAACAGTACTTATCATAGGAGCTAAATCTAATTTCCTATTTTTAATTTCCTGCAATGTAAATTGTTAGACTCATTTAAATTCCATCTAATTTGTGTATTCCTCACCTCTCCCCAGGCAGCGGGTGGAGGTTCCACAGGAGGGTAATATTTGGGGACATCCCAAGCCACTGCAGCCATGAACCACTTGAAATCTTTACATTTAAGGTGCTTGCGAAGTTCCTTCTGGGCAGAGATATCACCAGTTGAGAGATGTCTGTACTCAGGCCGTCGCTGGTAAATGTACTCTGCAAACTCATCCATCCACGTCTCTGCCACGCGCTTCAGGTTCTGTGCGGCAGAAAAAAAACAATCATTAATTTCTTCATCCTGTGAGTGAATGGTATTTCTAATGGGGAGAATTAAACAAAAAAAACCCGTTAGTAGTCCACACAACTTTTAAGCCTAGCTGGTCTAATTTCTCAGTCTTAAAACATAGAAAAATACCAGTAAACATATGCTATCTTCATTACAGTGTTGAGCAAACACTATAGAGCATTGCGTACCCTGTCTTCCTGCTGTCTCTGTAAGATACGGTCTTCAGTCTCTTCACCATCTTATTTTCCTTCGTATTCCTGATGTACCTTCATATGGGTTTTTGATTAATGATGGATATTGAACGGAAATTTTCTTTCAGCTGCTCACATTGGTACCTATGGGTTTTTTTCCTGTTAGTTCAGAACCTACTAATGTGCGTGAACGGTTCAAATTACTCCTTCTGACGTATTTCACTTTGTATTTGAAAGGCATCTGAATTTTCAGCTTAGTCACCTAGCGAGTCTTACCTGCATTTTAGGGTCAGGTCTTACATGCGCATGTATGGGAGCAAACAGTCATAAGCTTGCCCCATCTCACAGCTGGTTTTGCAGAGCCTTTGGACCGGGAGCTTCGCTGCGTCGGCGCGTCAGCAAGTCTGTGCAAAAGCACAGCACAGACCCCCGAAGCGGAGCTGACCTGAAGCAAAGCGGGTCCGTGGGATAGGTACGGCAACTTGGGGCTTTCTGCACACACCCTATAGACATCTCTAAGATTACTTCTGTTCCATGAAACCCAGTTCGGGCTTATGTCCCACAAAGCTTACTTTTGTTGGTCTTTTACAGGGAACAGATTTACCTATTTTGTCACATAAGACTGTCTTCGAATTATAATTAATGACATTAGCTGACTCAAATTCTAAAATAAAACAAAAAGACTTGGAAGGAAAAATCCTGAATAGATGAGACTGAAGAGACATGTTTTATTGTTATGTAATGTCATGGAGTCTAAATAGGCCGGGGGCAAATTTTTCTGCATTTTTGTTTGTTTTTAAAATTCCTCCTGCAACTCAATCCACACAAATTCACGCGCAGATGTTGTAATGGAGTACAGGCTTAGTCTGTTCTGCATTCCCACAGCTGCCCAAGAACCCCTCATCCCACCAACAAAGCAACATCTCCCTGGGTGACATTGAGGCACTAGGGTATTCTTATTGCTTTGTTTGTGAAAACAAGATCATCAAGTTTTGTAATATTCTTTTTATAGAACACTAACTGCAAAATGCGGAGATTCACTCTGTAATAAGCTGGAGGACAATATACATCTGATTATCATCAACATAAGGTAATGTTTCTTCTCAGAACATTCTCTGCATCTAAGTAAGCCTGATTCGTACCCTGATTTGCTTTCAAGATTCATCTGAAAATTCCTTTCCCGAATTTTATTAATCCACGCAAACCAAATGTCTCTGAGCTAATAAGGCTTATCTGAATACAAAGACAGCAAGATACAGAATAAACGAAGTACTTTTAGCTGACACTGCGAGATAAGTTTCTATGTGCTTTCTCTCTGTGAAGCAAACAACGTTAAAACCTGCAGGGATAAAGCAAGTGAAATTACAGCAGTATAAGAACTCACAACCCTTCTATCCCTACTCAAAAGTGGCTCGTGCCACACATAAGGTTGCCTTTTGTTGGAATTTCAGGAAAACCTAAATTACTTGACAAGAAATTAGAATTCAAGAATACAGGAACTGGGTAGGGCAAAGAAAACCAGAACCAATTTAAGAACAACATCTAAATGAGAATCCCACCTTTTCGGCAGAAATTCTGTAACGCAGAAGTCTCCTGACAAGTAAAAATACTATGTGATCAGACTTTGTAGATGAGGCCAAAATGTGATTAAGCCCATTAAACTAAGAAGCCAAAATGATGAAAACAGGTGTGATCTTTCTAGCATTTCTTCCACCATAATGCTGTATGCTTCATTTACTACAACGCAAATGCAGTTTAAGATTGTTCTAGAAAATATCATACTATTTTTTGCAATCACTTTATCTGATAGTGCTATTTTCATATTTAAAAACCATACTGTAAGAAGAACCATACAGTAAAAGCACAGTAAAAAAATTCTCTTAGGAAAGAAAAATTCAAGGTAACTCCATCAGCGACTTATCCTATCAATATTAAGAGTAGACTCTGCTGGAGTTTTCTCGTTGGTTATTTGGCTGCACTGTAAGAACTGCGTTCTGCTTTAAATGATTATAACTGAATAAAACAGGAGTCCAACAGAAAACTGGACATTATACCTGTTCACTAGCTCACAATTCTCATTCACCAGTAAAAACCTCTTTGTTTACCAAGAAGTCCTTTATTGCTGTTTTGGTTGAGAGTGTGTGTGTGTGTAAACCCACCGAAACGTTGCATGGAAAAAAAAAAATTAATTCCGTTCTTCCCAGCAGTCCCCAAGTATCAGGTAAGACACTTTACTTGAACAAATCTCTGTAAAGCTTTGTTCCCCAGTTCTTCCAAGACCGTTCTCTCCATCGTATGCTAAACATTCTTCCCAAACCTTGCCAGATCCTGTAATGAACCTCTATATTATCCTTAGCATGTTTATGCATTGCTGTCGTAAGCCAAAACCTTATGAGGCAGCCCTTTGAATTTCAATAGGTTCCCTTTTAAAAATAGAAACTCTTGATTTGCTAGCTGTAAACGTCCAGACCGCTTATGAACATGACTGCAAGGAACTCGCTGCCCAGGAGCGGTGGGAAGCTCTTTCTGAAGTTGCCGGTTACTCGGAAGCAAGCACTCGGCATCCAAACACTTCCGTTTTAAAGAGGTTTGTTAACTTCAGCTAGCGTGAGTTTCTTACCCTTGTTAGCAGCGCTATGCAAGCTCAGTAATCACCGTGCTTCCTTTTAACGTAAACGCATACAGACTAGTAGTAAAACTTCAAATTGCAGTTAATCCCCATACGTGAATTGAATGCAGTCAGGAAGAGCTGCTGTCCAGAAAGCTAGTTTGGTGCAACCTTGCACAATAAAGGCAAACATCATTTATGCTCCTACGTAGAACGTGCTAACGTAATACGGGCTGTCCAGGCTGCGGTGAGTGAGCTCTCGTAAGCTGAAGATCCCTGTTCTGTGGCTGTCTAACAGCATGGAAAGTTGCCCTGCGCGAAGAACTGCCGAGGAACATAACTCTTCTCTGCAAATTATGTCAGCGAGCTGCTGGTCTTTTATGCACCTTATCACAACACAGAGGTAGAGGAGCACGACCGACATGACAGCGCTCATCTCTGAACGCTTTAAGGCCTATCAATCAAGTGACTTACTGTAAGGTAAGGATGTGATTTCCAGCCCTTTACGAGTCTCCCAGAGTTGCCCTTCCCACAACCGGTGTGTCTATCCAACATGGTGGAGAAAGGAGGATGGTCACTTCCTCCTCGCCTGAGCCTTCGGCGAGGCTTAGACACAATTGGAGGATGGCAACATATCAAGCCCCACGAGTGGGAATGGTTATGAATAGCTACCAAATCTTGACAGAGTCTAGCTGTAAAGTAGGTGCCAACTTTGTTAGGACTTTACCAGGTGTGTGCGTACCCTGCCGCACAACGTACAGGTCAAAGGAGTTTCAGAGTCGACCAGATTAGGTGGCATTTTGTGAATGTCTTACAGCATCATGTAAGTAGTCCAGTCTCACAGTGAAGCTAATCTACAAAGAATTTAGAACGAACAAAATAAAAGTTCGATTTGAATCTTCTTGATTTCTGTCTCTGTTATTCTTTGTGTGATCTTCTAAAGAAAACTCCTTTAAATGCCAGTTTCTCAATGGCATCAAGTATCTTTATCAATAAGAAGAATCAGTTTTGGGATATTTTTGTGGTAGATCACACTTGCTTGGATTCAATCTGAACACTTCATCTCAATGCATACGGAAAGGAAAAATGAAACGTTTCTACAGCCAAAAACTGCTGTAGCTTAGCTTGGTTGTCAAATTCATTGCAAGGTTACAGATATCCAGATTGGTTACCCTGGTCTTTTAATAGAAAAAAAGGAAAAATAAAAATTAAATGAATTGATTAATGAATGAATCTTCAATTAAATGAAGATCAATTCACTATTAATCAGTTACATGAGTTGATACACAATATAAGGAAGTCACAGGGACTCTAGATCGACATCTGAGGAGTTTCTCAGGACCTATCCATGACAGACCAACGGTAATTTGTTCTCTCTCTTGTCATTTTCAGCAAAAAATTTCTGTATGAGAATAAATAAGGCCCGATGATATTTCAGCAGAAGCATATTTCTATACATAAGGCTGTGACAGGTGTCACCAAGAAGCTGCGAGATGCATACAAAAGTGATGGCAACCACACTAAGCCTGACTGACTCATCAGCTGTCACCAGTTGCCCATGTACATATTCTTGATATAATTCAGTTTTGTGCCACTGTCAAAATTTTCCTGTCTGGGGAATCCTTTACCATTGGGCTTATATTTAGACAAGTTTTCTTTAAGTTTGAATGAACTCACACATTTAAGGCTGTGACTTTGCTTTGTATTTTCATTCAGGAACAGTCTACAAGACAGCACGTGACAACATCACTGCTACCTGGGTGCCGTGGTTTAACCCACGCCGGCAACTCAGCCCCACCCAGCTGCTCGCTCACTCCCTGCCCCAGTGGGATGGGGGAGAGAATCAGAGGGGTGAAAGGAGAAAACTCCTGGGCTGAGATAAAGACAGTTGAACAGGGAAAGCGAAAGCTGCATGCACAAGCAAAGCCAACCAAGGAATTCATTCCCCACCTCCTGTGGTCAGGCCGGTGTTCAGCCATCCCCAGGACAGCAGGGCTCCATCACCCGTAACGGTGACTGGGGAAGACAAACGCCATCACTCCCAACGTCCCCCCATTCCTCCTTCTCTCCCCAGTTCTGTATGCTGAGCGTGATGCCATACGGGATGGGATATCCCTGGGGTCATTGGGGTCAGCTGTCCCCCTTTGTGGTCACCTGTCCCAGCCGTGGCCCCG